CTTGGAAAATAATAAATACAATTGATTATTGCTTGTAGACTTCGAATATGAACATGAAGAACTGTATTTAAATGAATTTTTTTCTCTAATTGACCAGTTTCTCCATATAATGTAAAATATTTTCTTCTTAAAAATAAAAATAATACATGAATAATATCAAAACAATTAATCTAATTTTACCTATATGGATTAGTTGAATAGAAAATTCTATTATCCCAATTCTTTGTCCATCCATGTAAATGTTCAAATGACCATTGACGTTCAATCCAAAATGAAGAATTGAATTGTTCTATTTCAGCTGAATTACACGCCATGATTTGATTGTCTTTATGGACAGTATAAGTATATTGAATATCAAAAATTCTTAAATATGGTATATGATTTATAATTAATTGTTCCCATTGATTGGCATCTAAATATTTCATATCATATTTTGTTGAAATACATAAGACTTCAATTCGATGAGAAAGATTTGTAATCCATTGTTTAAATTGATCAAAAGTTGTATGTCTCATTTGAAATAAAATATGACTTAATTTATTTAATATAATCGGTCGAATATTTGGTGGGTTATCTTTTAATCGAAAGATATTTAAACATGATAAATAACGAAGATGAGGAATAAATGATAATAATGTGTCGAGGTGGTAAAAGGAAATATCATTTCTGATAATGAGATGTTCAATAGAACTGTATTCATTAGTTGTTTCAAGTAATAAAATAGCATTTGGTTTTATTTTAAAAGAGATTTGACAATATTTTAAGACAGGTAAACGAAATATTCGATCATAAATATGCGATGGATTCGTTATGTCATCAATAGGTTCAATATCTAATGAGTAAAGTTTTGGTAAAACACGTAAAGAAATTAAAAGTTCTTCAAGATAATTCATTTGAATATTATGAATAATAAGTTTTTCAAGTTGACAAAGGCTTGTTAACTTTCGAAGTGGTGAAAAGGGATGATTATAGATAAATAAATTTGTTAAACGAATCGAATTAATTCGAAGTTGATGAGGAATAATAATTTCTTTATAATAATGTTGAAAATTTGATTTTGATATTGATGAAAGATCGAGATTTATTCGAAGATTAGAATTAGTAAGAAGATTTTCAATTCGCAAATTCAGATTAGAGAAAATAATATAGACATCATAAGAATCCAATAATTCAAATATTTGATAGATAAGTTCATTAGAAAGATCTTCAAAATG